TGACAAGCATTGCAAAAGCCACTCAGGTCTCACAAACCAATTTCTCTCAGTCCAGGGATTTAAGATAAAATGCTCAGAGAGTGTAGGTACCTTGATTAATGTCACACAGCTAATAAGTATAAAGTCAGAATTTAAACTCAGGTCTGTTTGACCCCAGAGCCACCTTTCCCAACTACTGTACCACCTAACCAGAGGCTGCAGAAACTAAACATGACTGTGTGGTACTGAGATGGTGGGAAGAGAGGCTCAGAAGAAAGTGGGCAAGCTCAGCCTTACAGAAGGCATAGAGAGACTTCTCACCATAAGGGAGCAAGGAGACTAAACAACAGTTTCTCCTTAGGACTGACAGCAGAAGGGCAGCAGCATGGAGCTGGGGACTTGGATGAACTGCCACATAGAGCAAAGCTGCCAACTCAAACATTTCACAGAAATTCATCTGCAACCACATGATGCAAACAGCTGACGGCCCTGGTCCCTAAATATCCCAGTAAGACCAGGATGGCCTGACCTCACTGTCTCTCCTGCAGCTACCTTACACACTATAATTATAATAAAATGCCATCCGTGTATAATAGAACAGTTATCCAAAAGGAGTTTCAGGTTGATTGCTGCAACTGTAGGCAAGATTTAAACTTAGGCTACTACCCCTATTCCTGCTCCCAACTCCCCATGCTCAGAAGAAGTCACATGGCACAGTGGCAAACACTTGGATGGTGGAGTTTGATAGACCAGGGGGAGAAGCCCAGCTCTGTCACTTTATAAACTTTGTATTAATACTCTGGTCATTTCTCCGATGATTTGAATACTCATGTTTGTAGTCCTAGTGACATTAAAGCATTTAACTGTTAGCTCAGTGTTTTTCAAACTGGCTCTGCAGATGCATTGTTGGGGCCTACAGGTCCTCTGTTTTGAGAGACACTAGTTTGGTCTAAGATTTGCTGCTGATGCATCATGGTAGTAAACGCTATAACTTGGGAAGTCTCCAGCTGGCAGATGTCTGTTTTGACCGCAATCTCAGAGCAGGGAGTGAACGCGGAGTCTGTCCTGAGGTTTGGAGGAAGACTGAGAGCCAGCCTGGAGAGCGTGGCCTGCTAGTGGGCTCCAGGGCCCAGAGGCTTCTTTAAGAAATAATGGCCTAGCTTGTCAAGTTCTGCATGGTTCAAGTTCACTTTAGGGACATACCCATGCTATGGAAATATAAATACAGGTCTATCCTATCATATAAAAGTCTGAATACACATATAATCATATAAATGCAAACACACACTGTGTGATGTAAAGTTGGGTAGATTTAGTATATGAAGCAAGTATTCCCCACCTATGCAGAACACTTCCAACTTTTCAAAGCATAGTGGTGTTTAGCAACATACTTGGTCTCCCCCTGACACTAGGAGCACTTAGAGCAGGAGCTGTAATTCCCAATTGACAGATGAGGAAAGGGAGGGCTGGAGAGATGCCCAAGATCACAGAGGCAGCTATGGGTGATGTCGGAACAATAAGCAGGGTTTTGGCTTTTGTTTTTGACTCCCTGTCCCTAGAGGTCTCCTCTCGGACCCTGAGTCTCCCTAAAACTTGTCTTTGAGCAGCCCCTCCAGAGCTGCTTATTTCGGTCCCTTCAAAGTCATCTGTTAGAAGAAGGCTGCTGGCTATTTTAAAGCCAGTGCATCCTGACAGGTTCAGAAAGAACAGCAAAATAAAAAGTGAAGCTCCTTCCTTTTGTTCAACCTTTCCAAAGCTTCCCTGGTTTCTAACTCTATAATTACACCCCAATCAGAAACACTCTGAAGGAGGGGGTCAGTTCCCTGCAGCCGCAGGCTAATGATGTGGCTGAATTTCTAAAAATTATCATCTTATGAATTTCATTATTCCTCTGAAGGGGGAGGAAAAGCGTACACCACATAGTTGACTATGTTTCAAACTGAATTAATTAGTAATTTGAAGCCTAATTATCAACTAATCTATTGGAACATGCAAGTCTCTTGTATTTGGATGGTATATGCAATTTGCATCCTATTAGCTAGCAGTTGTAAGAATTTGAGAGCTCATTAGGTCAGAAGAGAAGAATGCAGATCAGAAGAAGACAGAAAACCAAGGTACTGACTTGGTGATGCTGTGACCACGGGGTCACTTGGCAACAGATGGAGACTGGCGATGTAATTACCTGGGGTCTTTCAATGACTCTGAGGCTGCTGATGTGCTGATGTGTGACTTCTGTCTTACCCTGGAGAGGTGATTATGTATGCCCTCACCCTTGTTCTTTGTATTCTCAAGCAGTAGCGTGCCCACATGGTTTGGACTCAGAGGTGCCCTGGAGTAGTGGGAAAGGCACCTGGTGCTGCTTGCTCACTACGATGCTAGGCCTAGCTCTACCACTCACTTGCTGTGTGACCTTGGCCAAGTCACACCACCTTGCTGATTCTGTTTTCCTACAAGCAAATGAGACTTAATTGGAATTGACTTTTTTTTTTTATTAAATATATTTTATTGATTTTTTACAGAGAGGAGGGAGAGGTATAGAGAGTCAGAAACATCATGAAAGAGAAACATCGATCAGCTGCTTCCTGCACACCCTCTACTGGGGATGTGTCCGCAACCAAGGTACATGCCTTGACCAGAATCGAACCTGGGACCCTTCAGTCCGCAGGCCAATGCTCTATCCACTGAGCCAAACCGGTTAGGACTGGAATTGACTTTTGAAGTCCTTTCTAGCACTAAGAATCTTGGATTCGAGGGACATCAAGGGTTTTCTTTATTACAAAGTCAAAAATTTTATTCTTGAAAAAAATTTTTTAATGGGTCCCTAAAAGTCTCTGGACAGCTACCTTCCATTTAAAATACAAACATCCCTGAGAAAACTAACATATTTAGCCATTAACAGCAGGGCCAAACATTCAGGGGTAGGGAACCTTTTTTCTGCCAAAGGCCATTTGGATACTTATATCTTTATTCACTGGCTATACAAAATCATCAGCTTGTTAGTCTGCTAGATTTAGTCAAACATTTAATTAACTCACCCCTAATGCCTTGGCAGGGCCAGACCAAATGATTTCTCAGGACTTATATGGCCCACGGGCCAGATGTTCCCTACCCTTGGATTCTAAATGGATATATCTCAATAAGCCCTTCTTATTTCCAGTCCTGATCCTGAAATATTGGAACAGCCAAGGCAAGGATCAATCAAAGGGGAAAGAAGGGATATAAGGATGGAGAACAGGCCAGAAAGAAGAATGACAGAACTTTTAGGCAGATGTTTTTATATCATTTTTAGCTCTTGCATTTTGACCTTTCCATACTATGTACACCCAGATACTATGCCTTTTTTCTACTAATGACTTTTATTCAAAAAATAAGTAGAGCACAACAATAAAGACTAAAAAAACAAAAACAAGTAGAAAATAACAGTGATTTTGTTCAATAAATATTAAAGTTACTCATAGAAATAACCAACACAAAATAACATGGCTAAAACTGAATGTGCTAGAATTACTATAGATTAAAAGCTAAAACTCACATCTTAATGGGAACACAGAAAATTGCAAAAACAAGCCAGAATAAGGAGCAACATTTTGTAGAAAAAGCTACCATTAGGGAAAACTGACAATTGTTCAAGTTGTTACAGGGTAAAATTTGTTATTAATTAAAATATTTTAATCAGTATAAAAATTTGTTATTGATTTGATGGGAGATGCCACCACTTTGGAAAACAATTTTGAGTTCCTCAAAATGTTAAACATAGTTACCATATTATAATCTAGCAGTTCCACTCCTAGATGTGTATTCAAAAGAAACATTTGTACACAACTATTCATAGCTGCATTATTCCTAATAGTCAAAAAGTGAAACAACTCAAATGTCCATCAACCAATGAATAGACAAAATGTTGTACTTATATCCATATAATGGAATATTATTTGGCAATAAAAGGAATAAAGGGGTACATGCTACAGTATGGAGGAACCTTGAAAACACTATGCTAAGTGACAGAAGCCAGTCACAAAAGACCGCCTATTGTGTGATTCCATTTACATGCAATGTCCACAATAGGCAAATGATAGAGCTAGAAGGTAAATTAGTGGTTGATTAGGGCTGGGAGAATGTGGAATGCAGTGAGAGTGACAGCTACTGGGTATTCCATTTCTTTTTTGGGGGGATGAAAAAATGTAAAAATAAAATTGTGTTGATGGTTTCACAATTCTATGAATATATAAAACACCATTAAAATGTACACTTTAAATGAACCAACTGCATGCTATATAAATTGCATCTCAATAAAGGACTTAAAAAAATGGAGCAAAGGCAAAACAAAATTCCATGTAGCTTTGGGGGAAAAAAATCACACTTTATGATAAAGAAGGTAGATAGGCAAAACATGACCCAGGAGAAATAAAACTGTCAGAAATAATGGCCACAAAAACAAACAAACTCAAAATAGCCCATGTTACTAGATAAAATTTAATATGTACAAAAAATTATTTGATGAATCAAATCTTCATAGCATGAAATATAATTGCATCCCATAAAAAGGCCTGCAAGACCTTAAAAATGAAAACAAATTTTAAAAGAAAACATCTCATCTATGCTACATAGAAAACTGAATAAAAACTAAATTGAAATAGTATTGTTCATGTTGGAAAACTGTTTCTGGGTAAAGATCCATCAATACTAGTATAATTATGGTTTAAATGTTTATATTTATAAACTATAAAATTATCATTTTTTGTGATTTTGTCCTTATTACCAAGATTCAGTCACTTAGAGCTAGAATTGAGATGACTGATGAAGCTGTTTTAGAGTTTAGAGGTTTGCCAACAGTGATGTGGTTTGACAAACAGGGATGTGGAAGGGAAAAGGTAAACTTGATACTGACCGGACTTAGCATTACAGCTCCAAATTGCCCTTTTCACCCATGCAGTTCCCACCAACCAGGGACCGTGGAAGAAAGCTGGGGGCCCAAAGATGGGAACACCATTAGCTGAGCGCCTGCACTGTGCTCTACTCACCAGATTTGCAAGGATGTAGTGGTAGCCGATGCCATTCTTCTCCAGCTTTATAATCTAAAAAAACGCAAGGGAAGGGGTTCATTAATCATATTAGCAATTAAAGCCACAACAGCAATAATAATAGGAACTAACATTAATTGAGTACTCGCAGTGTTCTCTGCCCTAACCTAAGTACTCCAACCACCGTATCACAATCATCTGATGATGGTGGCAGTGGAGATTCTCATTTTACAGATGAGGAAGTGAGGCACGGAGAGGTTCAGTAAACTCCCTATGGCTACCCAGCTATTACGTGGTAGACACAGGATTTGAAATCAGTTTTGTCTGATTCCAGGGTAGAGTAGCATTTTGTAACCCCAAGGACCTACCTGAAATCTTCACTTCTTTCCTTCCATTTTCTTTTTTTAAAAGTACTTTTTAAAATATGTTTTTATTGATTTGAGAGAGTGAAACATTGATGAGGGAAACATTAATTGGCTGCCTCCTGCATACCTCCTACTGGGGACTGAGCCCGTAACCTGGGCATGTGCCCTGACCGGGAATCGAACTGTGACCTCTTGGTTCATGGGCTAATGCTCAGCCATTGAGCCACACCAGCTGGGCTGCTTCTCTTCTTTCTTAAAGCCTTTCCCCTGCATGGAGACTCTTTCCTGGTGGGGATCATATGCTGTGTTGAATTCCCTGTCACTGTCATGATAATACCTGCTGTGTGGATGGACAGATGAATGAATGGGTGGGTGGATGGGTAAATGGATGATTCCACCCCAGTTCTTGACCTTTAACTCCTTGCATGAACCATATTCAGATACAGTTCCTTCTTTCCCTGAATTTTATGTTTTCTAAACCAGCTCGGTACTCAGACATTAATGGGATACTGAACCCAGAAGCTGAAAGACAATGTCAGAATTGTCTGGTCCAAGCCCTCACTGTACAGATGGGAGGTACAGGAAGGGAAAGTGATTTGCCCAGCTCCCACAGTGGTCTGGTGGCAGTGTCAAGACAGGGACCTGACTCTGGTGAGCCTTTCCATATGATGCCTGATTATGGTTAATTATTAAGAGCCAGGGTCTTCATCATCCCTCTATCCTGAACGTGCAGACTGTCCCTAATCATTGTGGGCAGGACAAATATTTGTGGAAAGAACTACCCAGAGGTTTGCTTGGGTAGCCAGACATACCATCCATGGAGTAGCTAGGACTGCAGGCCTTGGTTCAGTTCTAACTCTGCCTGCAAGTTATGTCTTTTTTTTTTTTAATAATCAAATTGGGGTCAGTACATTCTGCTCAGTGCCTCTCCCCCTGCACTGTGGCAAGGAGTCATAAAACATATGAGAACTATTTGGGCTTCTTCTCTAACTGAATAAATTTTCAAGGTTATTAAAACCCACATTCAGACATCTACTTAATTGGGTGTATGTGCATAGCAGCTCACACAGTTTTTATGTAGGGAATAATTAAAAGCAAGTGCACACAATGAGTGCCCCAAAACAGTGGCTAGATTTTGAAATTCCAGACCACAGACCTCAAATACTATTGGGATGATAGTTTTATTAATAATTCTTCATTACTTTTTCATCTTTTCTGTCAAATGGTTTGCTGCCCTTTCAACAATGAGATACCTTTATCAAAAACCTATTCAGATCCTAATAAACTTAAATCAGCAAATAAAAGATACTTCAAAACCCACTACACTCAGACAATGGATAACTATAATCTCCACAAGATAAAATTACAGTTTGAAACAGGAAACTGGCAGATAATTGATGACTTGTGACCAATAAAAAGTATCAATTTCATATGGTTCAACCTAATACTAACCTTCTTACCCATTTACTCTTCTACCTTCCCTCCTTTTCTACATTCTCTTTACAAACATTTAAGTGCTTACTGTGTACCAAGCATTCTGCTGGAAGTCACAGTTTACTGGGAGGAGACCAATACTAAACAGATGAAGAATGAAATGCTCACAGGGTTATGAACTAAAAAAGTTGTTATAAAGATAATTTACAATTTCACTTGGGAACATTACTTCACTGACCTCATTCCTTCAAATTTCATTTCCACTGAATGGCCTTAATTCACAATCTTTGTGTCTGGAATACTGTTTCCTTTCTCTCTTATTATTCATAACCTTCATGGCTGAGTTCTAATCTCAGCTACTCTGTAAAACCTTCTATGATTAATCCAATTAGCAAATATTTATTGAACATGAACTGTATGCCAAGCACTATACTATGGACAAGAGAGGCAAGGTCCCCATGCCCTTATTGAGCTGAGTTGACATTTTAGTAGGAAACCAGTTGGAAAATATATAAACAGATAAATGAATAAGGTTTCAGTAGGTGAGAAGCACTATGAAGACAACAAAACAGGGTGATGCGATGGTTGGCCTGACCCTGGTCTCTCATATATCTAACTCATTCTGAATTTAATGACTGTATTATATAATTTGGTGTCATATGTTGATAAAGCATTATAGTCTAATAACCCTGCTCCCTGATCATAAACTTTTACTGCCTTTCCACTGTTTACAGAAACTAGAAACTCTTTAGAATGGTTTCCAAGGATAGTCATAATCTTGTGTTCATCCTCCTGTCACGATTTCCCAGTAGTCATTCAGCATCTTCCACAGCTGCTAAGCCATTCTATGAATCTCCACCCTCACATGCCCTCTGGGCTTCTCTATATGCTCTTTCTTCTCTCTAGCTCAAAGGCTCTTATCCAGTGAATGGCTACCTGTAGATAGCCAGACCCATCTCATATTTTGGATCTTTGAGGCTTCATTAATTCCCTATTCTTTTCATTCACTCAAAAAACATTTATGGAATGCCTACTACTGCTAAGCACTAGTGGATACAGCAGGGGAAAAGGCAAAACAAAAGAAAAATCCCTGCCTTCATTGACTTATATTCTGGGGTGGGGGCTGGAGACAGAACAGGAAATTGATATTCTATCTAGAATTTGGAATCACCATCTCCCTTCTTAGGCAGATAATATCTAGACCAAAAATATCCCAATTGCTGGGTGTTTTGATAGTTTAGGATGATGCCAAGATATCAGACTGCATGTCAGGAGATGTACATTCTAGACTCATTATTGTCACTAACTAGTTGTCTGAACCCATGGCAGATCATTCACCCAATTTGACCTTTAGTCATCCTACTTGGAAATGGTTGAGTGCAGATGGTAAATCAAGTAATGTACAGGCCCTTTCAGCTATTTGATCTTCCTTTCCAGAATAGAAGAATTAAACAATTTTGAAAGTTAACATATTATAATCTGGAATACCCATACTAACAAGTCACATTCTTACAAAATACAAGTTTGTCCTTTGGCAAAGGAGCTAGAGAAGCTAAAAAGATGCATTTTTAAGAGATTGGGCCCTGTAGGCAGAACAAGCTGGGTTTGAGTTCCTGCTTTTCTTGTATGTTAGCTCTGAGTTCTTGGGTAAGCATAATCCCTTGTTTCTTCATTTATAAAATAGAGGAATTGATTGAAGCTGTTTTATAGAGTTGGTATAAGGATGAAGTAAGGCTATACATGGAATGGGTCTGGCATAGTGTCTGGTATATGGTAAACACAGAAAATAGTAGCACTGAGTGTTATGGAACTATATAGGACAAGTCATCAGTCTACTAAGAATCCCTAACTATCATTCAGCACTTTCTCCACCTCTTTCTCATCTAATGTGTTATTAACTTTTTAGAAAAGTGGCTTTCATTCCTATTTTACAGATGAGGACACTTATCCCTAAAAAGGGAGTGACTCAAGAAGACAGTACTAGTTGGCAGTATGAATAGCAAAGATAGGTAATGCTTGCATATATCATTTTCTGTTCTGAGTACTTTACATGTAGAGAGACTTTTAATGCTCACAGGAGCTTCCAAAGGGAAGCTGTTATTAGTATACCCATTTTACAGATCAGGAGCCTGAGATGTAGAAAGATTAAAAATTGACTCAATGTCACAGAGTTAGTAAATACTACAGCTGGGATTGGAACCTCAGCCACTCTGGCTCCTGGGTGTCTGCCCTTAACCATTATCCTAGATTTCACTTAATTGAAATTCAAATCCTTTGACTCCAGACCAGAGAACTCCCATCTCAATGAAAACCATTTTTTTTTCTGGTTTCTCTTTTCCAGAGGGAAGGCCAGAACCACACTTTGTAAAAGTGGAACACAGAGTTAATGCCTTAAGAATCGCTGACTTTCAAAATTTCTGTTTTTCCACTGCTGAGACCTCTGAGTGATTGCTGAGCTGGTGTGCTGAGATTCCCTGTGGAGGCCGCAGAGGTCTTGAAGGCCATTAACAAGCTTTGTCATGTTGTCAAGTACCTAAAACTACAATCTTTTATTACATAGCACAGTTCAAAAATGATTGCAAAATATACTTCCTTGCAAGCAAATCTGAATGCACACATGTGATTTAAAAAGACAGTAACCTACACAAAGACCTGCTACTTCTATGATGGGCACATGCTTTAGTTCTGAGAACTGGAAGAACCATGGCTTAGAGACCTGGCTGAAAACTGTTGAGGTTACAGTGCCCTTTCACAGAATATACAGTCAATTGATTTTTCAGACACAGGAGAGTGTTCAAGGAAGCAGTGAAAAGGGAGGTGCCTGCCAGCTGCCTCCTGAGACTCTTAAAATAGGTCAGTGGGCCAAATGAATGAGATGCCAAGTGTTGGACTAGTGAGTGACAGAACCCAGAGCTGAACCCAGGAACCTGGCTCCATAGGCTGTGTTTCTAAATGTGATAGCCGTTAGCAAACTCTAAATCGCAATGTAATTTTCTTTTTTAAAATAAAGGGAAACACTGGAAGTCTGGTTTTGCTCAACTGATCTGAGAACCATGTCAAGGCTCCCATTATTTGTGCTATTTCATAAAATTTCACAATTAAAATTTATGAATTAACGAATGGGAGAAGAGAGGCATCTGGGCTTATCTAGTTGAGAACTCTCTTTGTAACACCCTAGACAAAAGTTCACTCAGGTCCCTCTTGAACCCCCTCCCACACCTACCCTGACCTTTTGTGGTATTCACTACCTGGCCCAAGATAGCATTGAGGCGTTCCGATTCACAGTCCACCACCACCAGCCGCTCCTTTTTCTTCTCCAGGTCCTGAAAGAGCATCCGATATCCCTCTTCCGTTGTTGTCAAAATGTTGACTGCTGTCACCTGCCAGTTCTTCTCAGCAGCTGTGTCCAGGACTTTCTGTAGGACGGACAAACCTGGAGGTCGGGTGAGTAAGACAGAAAAGTGGCAATCAGGATACTCAGGCATTTAGTACCTGCTTATCAAATGTGCCAGCCTGCTATCTAAACAGCATCTAATAACTGTCAATCACATCCATGAAGGTTCAGTATATGTCAGTACCTAATACTTTGCCTTTCACAAAGTAAGTATTCAATGTGTACTGAATTCAACTACTGCCTTCTAATTTGTAACTAAATGATAGAAGAGCCCATTACTCAATGCTGCTTTGTTTCATCTTTAAGACATAGATGGTGTATTAGTTTCCTACTGATGCTATAACAAATTACCACAAACTTGATGCTTAAAGCAACATATATTTCTCAATTTATACTACTTGAGGTCTGATGTTTGAAATATATCTTCCTGGATTAAAATCAAGGTGTTAAGTGGGCTGCTTCCTAGAGATTCTAGGGGAGAAAATTTTCTTGGCTTTTCAGCAAGTAGAGAATGCCTGCATTTCTTGGCTTATGGCCCCTTCTGTCTTCCAAACCAGCAGTGACTGGTCAAGTCTTTTTCACATCACACTCTGACTCTGCCTTTTCTGCCTCCAACTTCCACATTTAAGGACCCTTGTGATTACATTGGGCCCAGAAAAATAATCCAGGATGATTAGCAAACTTAATCCCATCTGTAACCTTAATACTTTTGCCATTTAATAAAACATATTCTGAGGTTCCAGGAATTAGGACACGGCATCTTTGGGAGCGCGGTGAAGGTTGTTATTCAATGTCAGATGGTATTTCTCTCTTGCATTATTAGTCAATCTTTTGCACATATATTATTTCTGTCTCCCAGTAATACTGCTCATCCCTCCCACAGTGACCATTATGGTGCCTGGCCTCAGGCATCATTTTTAGATTAATAGTGTTATGCCTTCCTATCTTTGTTTCTTTTTTTAGTACAAGTTGTTTGGTATGGTACTAAAAGTTTACTATGTGTCTGGCATTGTTTTTCCAGCTTTCCTGCCTCCAGTTCATTTAATCCTATGAGGTAGTTATCATTATCATCCCTGTTTCACAAATGTGGAAATTGAGGCTCAGAAAATTTTAGTTATTTGACCAAGGTCACACAGTTAGCAATTCGCAGAACTCAGAGCTCAGAGTTCTGAGGCAGGGGAAGCCCATGTAAGAGTGTGGGTGTAAGAGTGTGCTACAGAAATGACCCTCTGTAATTGAAGTTAAATTTTTCTGGCTTTGTCACTTCCATGATTCAAGTTTCATCATGTTAAAAAGCTGTACTGAAATAGCCCTTGTGCAGATGATCCTCACAATGGCTGGTGTCTGAGAAGGAAAATCATTAAACTAAGGAGAGGGAAGAAAAATCTAAGAAAATAGGGTGCTTCTGGTTCTCATCTGAATAATGACTACCTAACTCTTCTTGAAAAACCATTTTAAAAGCCACTCTCCTACTCAAATGTCTTCTAAGAACTCCCTATAGGCAACCTCCTATAAAACCTCCCTTTGGCTCAGGAAAAGAACTCCTCTGTCTCAGTTTCCAGATTTTGTATGATCCATTTTTTATTTATACCAATATTAACTCAGTTTTTATAGGACTATCGAGTATACAAGGGGAAGGTAGGACATTACAATATACAGAAGTTAGAAAAAGAGCAGAGTTCCCACTTAAGGATCAGGAACTAGAGAAAGTGGTGTTTGAGCAGGCTGTAAAAGAGAGGAACGATTGCATATGTATATTGAGAAGGGAAGTGCATTCCAGAAAATGGGAACAGCATGAGTAAAGAAGCAGAGAAGAAAACAGTATAGCAAATATTAGGAGAATGTGATGTAAAATTCAAAATTTAGGTGGAGACATTAGCAAGGCCTGGGAGGGTGGATGATGATGATGATGGTGACGACCATAGCAGCTAATTCATATGGAGGACTTTGAGCATCACTTATGTTCGAGACACCGACAAGAACTGTGCAGTCATTTTCTCATTCAATCCCCACAACTTTATGAGGTATAGACTGGTTTTATCTTCATTATAGAGATGAGGAAATGAAGGCATAGATAATTTTATTCCCATTACATGAGGCAGAGTGCTTGCCCAAAGTCAAACAGCTAGAGAGAAGAGAACATAGAATTCAATCCAGGTCTGTCTGACTCCAGTGTTTATGCTACTAACAACCTTGCCGCGAGCCATAAGCCATTCAGTTGAGGTCCTTGGACTTTAAGTGTGGACTCAGGAGCCATGGAAGCTGGTGAGCTGTAGAGAGACACTGTGCTTAAAGGGGATTACTCTCTCAAAGGATGTGTCTCCACACTACGAGTTAGAGATTAGTCACCAAAAAACCAGTCCATGGAAATAAAACATTTCTGAATTATTTCCCCATGCTTCTCAAGGAGGCAAAAAGGTATCACTTTTCTTCCTGCTGGTAGTTTTCTCTCCAGCTTTCAACAGTCTGCCTCTCCTAGTCCCTGGCTTACCCCGGTCAGCATCATAAATGTAGACAAATTTCTGCCACTTGTAATGGTCGATAATACTGATGAGAGCATCCTGCAGCTCGGGGCGCAGCTGAAGGACAAACTGGTTGGATGTGTCAACGGGAAAGCTCGGCGTAATAAAGCAGACATGGAGGGCCCCACAGAAGGAGGTCAGCATGTTGACGGTCCTCCGTTCATAAAATCCAAAGATGGCATAGACTCCTTTGGAGAACTGGGAACAGACTGGAAGAGAAGAGAAAGATTAATGGATGGAAGATGTTGCAAACAAGCTGTCAGGTGACTCCAAAACAAACCTATTCACTAGTCCATTCATACAACCGGTCACCTAGCCATCCATCATCTAGCCATCCCCCTGTTCAACCAAACAATCCATCTATTCATCCTTTCAACCCATCAATCTAACTGTGCACCCAAACACCTATCTATCTAATTCAATGTTTATTAAGTGCCAGTTCCATGCCAGTTGTTGTCATGGATATTAGTTATAAATGTATACAAAGTATTTTCATGTGTTCTCTCATTTTATGTCTTCAACAACCTTCTTGAGATAGGAAAGGGATAACTGGTTCATCTTTTAAAGAGGAAAACCAGAGCTCAGAAACTTAATGCACACCTAAGACATGTGATATCTTGACCTCATCCAGTGATTTTTCCATGATACTGCCCATCACTTTAAGGCAAAGCATAAAAAGATTCTACAGGAAGAAAGAGGTCTGACAGCTTGCTGTTGATTCATGTTTAAGATTTTCCCAGTCTACCATTGGCTTTTGGTGTACATTTCTCTGCTGATATTCATTTTGTACTTGTACATCCTGCTAGCTGATTTTTCAGGCCCCCTTGCATAACAGCCATAGTAATAGTTTATCTGTGTGTGTGAACATCCCCACAGGAGCCATTCTGTAAGATCTCAGTGCAGTTACCAATTCTGGTTTGTGTTGGTGACAGTGCTAGTTAGAATGCAATACAAAAAAAGAGGTCATAAGGCCAATCTCCAGGTCAGTGGGCGACTGAGCTTTATTTATTTTTTTTGAAAATAGAAGTTGAATTTATTAAAATAAAATTTTTTCATGATTAATAAGCTCAGTAGAAAATAAACACTTCAAGCAAATGATACACATTCAAAGAATATGGAGCTAAAACTGGAGTTGAGAGCCACAAAGAATAAACATGGAAGGCAAGGTTGACCAATAGAAAAATGCCACTATCAATTCTGAGATTGGGAAACTCAGCCTTGGGTTGTTGGTAAAGTTGAAGAGCTGATTCTGAGATGTCTATAATAAGTTAGGCCTTTCCAGGGAACTAATATTACAGACTCATTTTTTAGCCAAGTATATCTTTGTTCTGATTTTTTATATCTTCTTTTTAAATTAAATTTATTGAGTAACATTGGTTAATATCATTATATACTTGTCACATGTACAAAATTATAATTTGATGCCTGTGTATTGTGTGCTCCCCACCGGAAGTCTAGTTTCCTTCCATTACCATATATTTGACCCCTTTACCCACTTTGCCTTCCCACCACCCTCTTTCCCCTCTAATAATCATCATTCTGTTGATAACCCTCTGATAACCATCAAACTTTATTATAATATATGGTATTGGGTGAGAGTTCATAGACTTTACCCAGTCAGGTGACCACCCCCAATGCCATCCTCTATACCTAAAAATTACCTTCCCATTATGAATGGTGAAGCAGATGAGCCTTTCTCATCAAAGATTAATTATTCTAATTAATCTTTAGAGTAATTTTTAAAAATTTTCACATATATTAGCTTATTGAGCCCTCATCATGACCCCCATGACTTTGTTATTATTGTTTTTTTAAAGATGAAAAGTTAATGTTTTTAGATCCTTTGCTCTCTTAACACATCATCTGCTTGTATATTTACCACATTGCTTTGGATATGAGCCTCAAATATTGCTCCGTAAGAATTTTACAAATATGTTCCATAAAACCTTAGTTCCACAGATGCACTTTAACAACAACAACAAAAGGGTTTCTTTTGTCAAATAAATTTTAGAAATGATACACACCTTATCCTCATCTTGGAGGTTCATACCACACTAACTACGTAACCCAAATTTTGTCAAATATATTTTCCCTAGCACCCTTTGTTGGTGAATACTTTTAACTTGTTTTTAAAGGACCTTTAGATCATGCTGCACTAAAGAATCCAATTAATCACTGGCACCCAGTTATCTCCTGTGAGTCTCAGTTCAGAGTCAGTCCCTAGAGATAATGGGCTTGATATTTGTCTCTTAAAGATTGCAACTGAACAACACAAGTCATCCGTCTGACCTCTACTGAAACCAGCATGCCACCTACCGGACACCTGGCAGGTGGTCATTAACATTTGCTTGAATACTTTCAGTCCTGGGCATTCACTACCTATGACGGTGCCTAGCCCATGTACTGACCACTGTTTGAGACAAGAACCTCATGGAATGCCTGCTCTTGACCCACTCCACAGCCCTCCTGGTAGCTGAAGGTGGTCCTCGTGGACTCTAGCTTTATGGCATTTTGTTCTCATCAGTGAAATCCATTCTCCATCCAGAAGCCGGAGGGATCTTTGTAATTAAACAAAACAAAACACAACACATTGCTTCCCTTCCTTATACAAAACCTCTCAAAAGTTTTGAGATTTTCCATTTTACACAGAAAATCTCCCCAAGCATGTGAAGCATGTGTCCATGACTCAGAGCCTGAATGACCTGCCCTTCTGACCCCTCCTATCTCACAGCACACCTTAATCTGTGCTCTAGCCACCCTGGCCTTCATTCTGCTCCTCAGGGCTCTGAGCTCCTTCTGCCCCTGAGACTACAATAACGTTGCCATCCTCTACCTGCCATGCTCTTTCCTTATCTCTTTGCAAGCTTCACTCCTTTTCAGCAGCTGTATCTCAGCTCAAATCTCACTTCCTGGAACAGGCCTTCCTTTATCATCTCTCCTAAATGGTGACTCTCCCCTCCCCTCAACCCCACCCCCCAGTGAGTATCACTTCACCCTGTCTTATTTCTCATATTTTAATTATTATTTTAAATCATTTTCTTTACTTGTATATACCTTGGCTGCTTGGGTCAATGTTAATTTCCCCAAAGCCAGGATAATGCCTGGGGTAGGTGCTTAATATATATTTGTTGAATGAATGAATGCTGAGTGCTTGATGAGAGGGTCACATAACTCGTAATAGGGAATAAGGAGGAGCTGGACCCCAAACAGAGGACTGTTGGGTCACCTTGGACCTCCTACTCTTCTGAGGAAGCTGTTTATCCTTCAACATTTATACTATTTTCTCTTTCACCCTAATAAGGACACACTGTCTGCTCATAGCAGACAATAGGCACTATCATTAAATGTCTATTATAATTGCCAGAATCAAGATTTCCATAAATATGGATTTCTCTACCAGCAAGCATCCATCGTATATCATTCTGCCCATGTTAAATATAGATTTGTCAAAAAGCACAATCCATCTTACTGGGTGAAGTGAACATAGGAGCACATAGACCCTGTTAAAATATTATAATATGCTCTCCACGGTATTTTAGGGTATCTTCTCGCCTTGCTACAATGAGATATTATCCTGTGGGTTAGAAATCGTATGTTCCAAATCTATTCCCTCATGTCATCTACTTGGTTTCACACCTTTAGTTGGGCCTCTGGGGGCTGGTACTTCTTGCGAGAACTTTAGAAGGAGAAGAAGAAAGGATGAGGCAGGGTGGCAGAAATAGAAGGGAGTAGACATGGTAAAATCTTTGGCACACAGAGGCTAGGATTTTCTCCCTCAAATTATCTTTCTATTTTTTCTTTTTCTTTTTACAAATCCCTCTTCCCTTAAACTGTTCTGTATTCTCCCTCTAAGGCTAAATAGGTACATTTTTGCACCTCTCCCTAAAAGAGCATGGCTGGGAGTAGTCTGGCCTGGATTAACTTCAGTGGACTCTCGTCCCCAGAATTGCTCAGTGTCTGACCTTCATTTGACCTAAGCATGAGCGGGGGGAGGGAGGGGGGAGAGAGAGAGAGAGAGAGAGAGAGAGAGAGAGAGAGAGAGAGAGAGAGAGAGAGTCTCTCTCTGTAGGCCCAAGGCTTTGGGAGAATGCAGTCATTGATTAAATGTTGAAAATGTAATTGGTAGTTGCAAGTCATTTCTTCGAATCTGTCACAAATATTCAATGTGAGGAGATAGCAGGGTCTTGCAGGAAAAGTACTAGATTAGATGCCAGCAGGCCTGGAGGACGCTCCTTGTGGTTTTCTCACAACACAATACTTATGTGACCTCGAGCAAGTCTCACATTCTCCCTGGGCCTCAGTTTTCCCATACATAAAGAGATGGTTTGGACTCCATAATATTTGACGTCTCTGCAGGCTCCAACATTCTGGACTTTAGCCTAATTAATTGAAAAATGTTTACCGATTGAGAGCAATTTAGTTATTTGCTGGTCAAACGTAGAGCAGCTTCTAGTGCTCATTTTCAAACCCAGAAATCAGAGAAAGACTGTAGTTCTTAGATCTGACCGTAACAGAAACCCAGCACTAAATCTAAGTGCATTCGAAGTCTTGAGTTTTATTTAAGATACAGTCTTTAATCCACTGTGTGAGTTAGTTACCTAGCAGGCAGTAGATGAGAGGCAGCATATCAGAAAGGGGGCTAGAGGTGGAGACTGTATTGTTAGCTACAACAAGCAGGAGGGAAGAAATGGGAGCGTTCAAAGGCTGCATCGGAACTCTGCACCGACTCTCACACTGATGCTGAGTCAGAGCAGACTAGCCTGAGCGTGGTACTCACCATTTAAGATCGCAGTGTTGCATAGAATGCCTCTGAGAGTAATAATTAAGAGCCGACATTTGAGCACTTAGACAGTGCCAGACACTGTGCCAAGAACATTTCCTCGCATTAACTCCTTTCATCCTATGAAAGTGAGGGCCAAGAGTAGGGCAAGGCAAAGCCAAGATCTGAACTCCACAGTCTGACTACAGGCCTGAACTCTTAACCTCTGTGCTGTGCCACCCCTCTCCCTACACAGTGTTGGAAGGCAAAGTCTTGGCACAGCTTTGGTTTCTAGAAAATCTCATGGAACACACTGCCTTCCCCTAATGCCAGGTAGAGAAGCATTACTGTGGATACGAAAACAGAACGAATCTGAGCGGTGTGCTCGATTCAGCCCCTGGAAATCATGAAGGGCACATATACCACATCCGTTCTTCTATTGGTCCATCC